GTCGTATTGCCATTTCTTTTCCTTTTGCCGCTCCAAGTATACACGCTTCTCCTTGGGAGTCCCAACTATGCGTGGCCTATTTATTGCGGTGCTGCAGCAACAATAAAATCAGTTGCTATACTCCGTTTCATATTATGTTTAAGCGCAGCGGATGTTACGAGTCATCGGAGCCAATCGGAGGCCATGTGAGTGTCACGTGACCTTAGAGAGGGGGCACAGCGACGTGCGAAAAGAGTATCACGGGCCACGTCCACAGAACGGGATTGGCTAAGATAGCTCGAATGCACCTGCTGTGTCCAGACGTAAGTTGAAACGGGGTATAGGCGGGTTCTTCTTTTATATATGAAAGGCTAGTGACGTCACTCCCCACGTCGCAAGCTGCCGTCGCCGCGGCAGCTTGGGCAGCAGTAATCTTCACCGGAAACGTATGCGGTGAGCGCTACGTGCTTCGCATTGTTTTCAGGAGCTCCTTATCATTCATTATATGGTTACGATGCTTGTTTTGTGCTTATTCTTTAGTGAAACGAATGTTGTGCTGTATGTTGTATGCGAACACACGCGGGGAGAAAAAAATGTGCGTCGCATTGTTTGCAGGCGCCGTTATCATCCATGATGCGTTTTGCACTTCACACGAGGGCTTCATACGACGTCAACCCCTTTCGAAGCAGCTGCAAACCTAATCTTTACCGGAATGTGTGGGAGGCTGTTTCTATTGTTCACACGCACCTTATCATCCATCATGTGGTTTTGATGCTTGTTTTGTGTTTTTTTTTTTATTATTATTATTGAAACGGATACTGAGCTGTATGGTGTATGCCTGATTTCAAAGGAGATATGCTGTTTTACCTTCAATTGTTCGCCGGGAGTTTTTGGTTTACAACGCCAACGACACGAAAATTTCCTTGGCTGGTAGAGGTACACAGCTTTGCTGTAAAAAATATCTTTTGCAGAGGAAGTGGGGAGAGGGTGCTCCGTGCTCCCTCTCCCAATATCTCCTAGAAAAAAGGCCGTAGCGCTCCCAGTGGTTATGTCACAATGTCGAAGGCAATGGTGCTACTACGTGAAAAAATATCTGGTATTGACGTGAAAAAAATGTTTCTTGTCAAGCAGCGCGGTAGTGTTCGTGCGCGTTTATTCGACTTTAATATATCTTTTAAAAGTGCAGTCTTGTACAATTCATTACATATAATATAAACGCAATATACAATGCCTCACCAAGGTTGAAAGTACCAAATTTATATTTATGATTATCCCCGTAACCATGGGACTATGTGCAGTCTTGCAGCTCCCCGCACTTTTCGAATAAAACAGCCCGGTGCGACATTTTCTTTCCTCATACACGAGCTCCGATTCTGGTAAATTTTCTGTCGTGTGTGAGCTGCTGACTGTCTCAAAAGGAACGCTGAGACGTTTCAAAAGGGAAGGAAACCGAAAAAAAATCCAGTCATCGCCGCAGGGAGCGCATACGAGCGAGAGATATATCGACAAAGTTAAGCCTCTTGTCACAACTGCTCTCGTGTGTGATTCTTCTGAGACTTGTTTCCTTCTTCCCGTCGTTTTTCTGTTGTCACCGCAGTCTCGGGTAGCTTTTTTGCGTGTTCGCTTGATACTACGGCATTTACGTGGATTCACGGAACAAGTCTTGCAACGGTTTGGATGACGTGTGGCAACTAGTCAACGATGACACTGGTCCATTATCGATAGACCTCTCTTTCGACAGAGAGACTTCTTGGAGTTTGTGTTCAAAAGTTTTCGTAACGAATATTGCAAGAAGTATGGATACGATCGACAGGTGAGGAAAAACTTATTTATGGGTTTTCTTGGTCATGTTGGATGCAAGTAAAATGCTGCCGTAGATATATTCTTTTTTTTAAAGGAGCTGTGCAACAGTTTCAGTGCTTTGCTTAAATAATTTGGAAATTGGTGTCTCGACCTTTCTGAAGTAAAGAACAAAAAACGCTTTTGCCTGCATGTCTTAGTTTTTATTTTAAAAATGGACAAAGATTGAGGTTTTCGGCACCTCTCAACTCCTTCACCATCTTCCGAGTCACATGCACTGTGACGTCAATGGGGGTCGCATGAGGTCCCGGTGAAGCTCTCCCTCTAGAGCCATCAGTGAGCAGCGGGAACTCCTTCGCTCGCGACCACTTGACCACATGCTGGCGGGCGCAGTGCGAACAATATGGTGAGAGGAGAGAAATCTCATCCAAGTCCGGCCATACCCGTCCGGCTCTGTCACCCTCCCATTCCGGCTGTTCGCGGTAGCAAATAGAGCTGACGGTTTTGTGGACCTAGGATAGATGGCGCCATTAAAACTCCGTATAATAAAAGTTACAATTTTCGGGTAATACTTTTTTTTCCTTGGTTCCTATGAAAATCATGTTAACGGGATTCCGCTGTATAGCAACCTTGGTACAACATGGGCCACTGAGAAAAAGGAGGCCTTGCCGCTCCGGTTCTCGGTGAATTGTAGTGCCGTGACAAGCAACAATCAAAGAACAGCAGCTTGTGGAATTAAAACAATATAAGAAACGCAACAATTTCTAACTCGGAATCCAATCAGAATGTATGGAATTCTGTGTAACTATAGAATACCATACATACTGGCATTTATCTTGTTTAATAAGAGAAAGTGGTCTGCTGCTATGCACCCACAGTTATCAGGGGGACCTAGAGTAACTGTGCACGCTCTACTTTTGGAGCAGAGCATCGCAATGGTGCTACGAGGGCGGCCCTGTTTGATCCAAGGCTGAACTGTGGAAAAGCGAACTTCATTTTGGCAGAAGACACGGAGGCACGGCTGGCTAGATGCAGGGTGCTGCGGAGTGCAAGGCAGAAAGAATAGTGCAGCGACACAACGTGCGCACGCGTCCTTCTGTCATTTGGTTCCCGTTTCCCTGCAGTCTATGCCCTCAGTAGAACGCAGCGGCCTACAAAAATGTCATCCTTTCCCAAGCCGTAGCTGCATGTTGTTGTCTGGTCCGAGGTGCCTAGATGTGCCGGTCGCATATTGCGTATCGCTCGGCAAACGCCGCAGATGGCAGCAATGCACTTGTTTTCTGTGTCGTGTGCTTCCCAGAATTTGGAAACAAATGTTTTAAATCATTGCTGGCATTATAAACAATGCATTTATATTGTACTCATTAGCTACACATAGGCTGTGTTCCAAACTTTAAACAATCCGAATGCGGAGTGAAGGGTTTGTACCGTGGCGTTTCAAAACTTACTCGCACTTACTCAATGACGTCAGAACTTGCGTTCCCGAAGCGGGTTGTTTACTCCGGAGTAATTACTCACGCTACCCTCCTCCGATCGGTGGGTAACATGAGTAAAGACGTCACATCATGTTTGCCGTGTGCTCGTCGTCTGCCTTCTGCACTCACAGCCGTCGAAGCTCTCTGTTTCGTTGGCTTTGGTGGCAGACGTTCAGGAATGGCAGGGAACGAGGTGCAGCCATTTATATGTAATCATTGTGATTTGCTGTTTTCAACTCACAAATGGATTGTGCACCACATCTAGACGATGCACCTTCCGTTGGAAGGCATATCTGTTGTTCTCATTAAGTGCGAGCGTAAACAGGAGCTTGCATCCTCCTCTTCGGCGTTGAAGTGAACTCCATATTCTTTTACGTTCAAGGCTGAAGCTGTTTGAACGGAGTAAATGATGTAGAAGTCATTTTTTTCTCCAGAATCTGTGTAATGGCACTGAATGCTTTGAAGATTTCATGTATATGACCAGTCAACAACCCCACCCTCTCTCCCACCCCAAGAAAATGTTGTTTAGTACAAAACTTCTCACTGCAATATTTTTTTTTGTGTGTCAATATTAAGGTAATTAAGTTACATATACCACTGTTGAGTACCGCTAGACCATGTGAAAGTAGATTCTATATTTACACAAAACGTGATCAATGTAACTTACGATGCGTGGAATGTGTATGTTGAGAGCGTATGAAGCAGAATTAAAGTCAGCATGCTGATTAATAAAAAAAACAAATGTTTGATGTCTAATTGAAAGGAGTAGCAAGTAAACTTTATCTTAATATACAGTCCAAAAAGGAAGTTGACCAAGTGGAGCCAGTAGAGCCACCTCTAAAAACACGTTGTAACGGTCAAAGAAAACCTTCACAGCAGTTTATATTATAGGGAGTTTTCACTGACGTAATTTTGTCCCCAATTTTGTTGTTTCGAGCTATTTAGCGCTTGCAGAAGGCAAGCATTCCGAGGATTTCCATGACCCCTTAAATGCAGAGAGCAGAGAAGATTACAAGTCTTACCACGCTGACATCTCCTCGACAGGTTGTGGTGTAATCCTTCATATTAGTGAATTTGTTTGAAAAAATAAACTAACAACAAAATGGCGGATTGACGTCATACGAAAACAACCTATTGTCGCTTCAAGTGCTTCCTCCATGATTAAAAGCAATCGTATGCTATTTTCCGCCATTGCTGTTATGTTTTCTCCTTGTCGTAGCCCAAAGCAAAAGCCAATCTGCGTGGAGGTGATAATCCCGGCCATTCCAAAATCAAGTTGCGGATCAATCAGTCTCGATGTCACATGGTATTATGCTCTGACGTAGGAGACAGGTTACTCGGGTAAGATTTGGAACATAGCCATAATGTTTAATGGTCAAGGAAAGATGTACATTTTGCAAATGCAAAGCGAGGGACATGCTCCGCCGAAAACTCTGTACCTGCAAGGTCGCTTTTCCCCATAAAGGTTGGTCAAAGCACGGCGCACGTGACCGCTTTTTCACCAATACAGAGTTGGCAGCGAAAGAAAAAAGAATGTAACACTTTGACTCTGAAAGCAGAGCTTATGCAGTTACTTTAGGAGGTCAGAGTTTTAAAGTTGCCTAATGAGAGGTGCACAAACTAAGCCAGCAGCAGGATCTCCCTTAGGGAGAGCTCAGGTGACAAGGTCCTGAGTATAGAGAAGGTTGTGGCTTGAACACCTACCACTGTCTTCTGTTCATGAAAAAGTTGAAAAGAACAACTTACTATGACCTGAAGGCTGCACGAGTTCCATACGAATTGCTGCCCGCAGTCAGGTTCCTGAAGATGCTCAAAAGGTAACGAGGGACATACGGGAACAGCTGAGATGCCTACGAATAAACACAAAAAGCAATGACAGTAATTAGAAACAAAGCAAGTGCAGCCTCCAACTGCATCAAGCTAACCAGACAGCAACGAGGATAACACACAAGGCACACCCAGGATTTTGCAATTTCATGAACACAGTGACAAACGAATTAGGAAACGGAATACCTGCGTGTCTAGTAATGGGTGCCAGCTCGCACTATCTGACGTAAAAGTTGGAAGGTATTATGAAACATATTTCTTTTTTCTGCTACATCGCCAGTATGGTAAAAAGTTGATCAGTTAAAGGGCCATGAAACGAATTTTAAGCTGGGATAAAGGAATTTAGATTGGGATTTTACGAATAATATATTGTTTAGTGGGCCAAAAGAAAGAAGGTAGAAAGTCAAAAGCCTGATTTTTGGTATGAACATTTGAAAACATAGCGGAGTATTTTGTAGTTCCTCCACTTCGAAAGGTCTCTGCCTTGTCACTGTGAAACATCCGCGGTACCCAAAGCACGTCAAACGACACCCGACCTCACTATATTCCCTTCTACCCTAAGCTGACAGTGCAATGGAGGCTATGCACTTGCCGGACCAATCAACCACCTCCCTTTCATCACCTGACCTCATTCTCTGCGCGTGAGTATGTGCAACGGAGTGTGATCATGTGGCAAAAAATAGAAGTGTGGCTGACCCAACGAGCACGTAGCTTCCACAGTAGTGCCAGATTAGGGCTGAACGAGGTGGGGAAAGGAACTTTCGTCTGAACTTTAAGCGACGGGCTAATCTTCTAGGGGGAAAATGGCGATGTCCGGGTACACAAACGAGGGTCCGAGCAAGAGGCGAGTTTTTCCTTTCCCTTTTTTGAACTGCTTGGTACACTGTGCGATTTGAGAGTTGAGGAAAGCTAAGTAAAAAGTGGAAAAGTCGTTTCATGGCCCCTTTGAGACAAATTCTATGCAAGTATAAATTACTTTATGTATTAAAAGTATTGTTGTAAAACTAGGTGCTACATCAAATAGAAAATTTAATGACAGCATTTACACAAACAAAACAGCAGTATTTTTTTCATGTACTAGATTTGGTGAAACCCTTCAAATCGACATCAAAGAGCCCAGTGATCCATCTGCCTTTGAAAGGCAGTAAGCAACGCCACTTTAATGCTGTTGAGGGGAATTCAGGCTCAATCAAATGCTGCTTGAACAAAGCTGTTCCATTGAATGCTGTCCAATCAGCAGCCAGGTGGGATAGTGCACAGCAGCTTAGGGCACATAGACTCAAAACTCGCACTGCACAACCCAGTTATCCCCTGCAACTGCCCAATTCGAAACAAACTAGCATTGTATTGGTGTGGAATCTTGTAATAAATGTTACAAAAAATGCAGGAGGGCTGCTGACCACCCCTCCGGAAAAACAAAGGAAGAGGAACGCAATTCAGTTATATTGCTGCATGCGTGCCAGAGCTCACAACGCACGCGGTTGCTAGCAGAGGAACAGGATTCAAATGTTTTTGACCCACTTCTTTCTCTTATAATCTGTACTCCACTAGAAAACTCTACCCAACTTTTGGCAGTCGTCGTGTTCTGGTTCGAAAGATATTTTGACATATGTGCATAAAAGACAGTGTAATGCGCTGCTTCGGGACTGTTGCTCTTCCCTCGCCAACGTGAGATTCTGGTACCTTCACATTCATCTCCTATATTTATTTGTGACAATATTTATTCTGCACACATCTTTGGATAGAGTTAACAAACAAGCCCGTTGCTCTATTTCTACCCAATAGCCATTGTTCCGTCATTGAAGAAAGGAGTTATTTTTTTTATTTCCATGCTTCCTTTGTGTACCAAGTTGACACTTGTCATTTCAATACGTAAACCTGAAATGTCAATGACGTAATTTGAAAACAGATTACCACTTGACATGGCAAATTCTTAGTGGAAACTGAAACGACAACACGAGATGAACCTAGGAACAAAAAGCTGAGTGTGAAGATTTATGTTGTCTTTCCCTCAAGTCCCCTTTCTCAAGGTTTAAGACACTCAAGCTACTGTGCATGCTAAAGACAACAGGTTGCCATTAATGCTCCACACTGGCCAAACTGTCCATTTACAGTGGAAACGGGCACAACATTTCAAGACATCCTGCAGTTCAAACCGCTGTATGCAAACTGTGGCTTGATTTCGTCAAATGCCGTCTTGCCGCGAAGCCTGGGGTTTGACATGCATCATGCAGTAGTGATATGCAATCGCGCGCCGGTACGTTGCTCATCAACATCGAAACAGGCAAGGGCAGTAATAGAACCCACGATCTCTAGGTTCCCCAATGTAATTGCTTTTGTTCCACATGCTCCGGCATGTGGCGAGTTAACACACTCTGCTACCTACCCCCTTTTAACCGAGTTAAAGACCAGTGGCTCAAAAATCTCTTGGCAAGCTGAAGGAATGCTGCAAAAACCATAAAACTAAATCAATAACTTTCAGAAAAAAAATCCATAACCTTCGGAGCAACGTCAGTCACAGTGAGCCATAGCACGATGCTTGTCATCAAATTAAAGGGTAGCTCCAGCGTCAATTTGAACGTTTTCAACTAAATGTAGTTTCAGAAAGAGTGCAAACGCAGCCTAAGGCAGCAAATAAATTTCCCTAAAACATATTAAATGATTTAAAATTTTTTTTTTTATGATTTAAATGAAATGATTTTTAAATGATTTTTAATTGTAGAAATACGATAAAACCAAAACTGAGACTATCCTGCAACTTTAGACCCGTGCCACACGGGCAATTTGAATGCCGTTTACAACGAATGACATTCGTGTGACTTGGGGTGAAGCGGGGGGCAGGGACAAAGGGGGTTACAACTTTTAAAAATAAATATTGAAACTTTACATGAAGACAACTTCATTACATAAATAAAAACAGAACAGCGCAAAGACGAGGACAAATTAGAACATAACTGACAGGACACAGAGCTGACTCCCAACTCAAGATTTATTTGTGTTAGCATCCAGTATAAATAACAAACATGCTACATCAAATAAATCAAGGAAAAACACAAAAAATGCACATTATGAGTTCAATACAACACCGTCACTGGTTTGCCCTCCTAGCTCCAAGTACTGCAACTCTTTATCTGAAAGCACGAGCAACGGGGCGCTAACAGAATCGGTTCCCAGTCTTGCGATGTCACGAGCTTCTATAATTTCACGCGTGACTCAGTCTTCATTTTTAAAAACCACTTGGCATTTGTCGAAGACTGGGATGCAACCCCAATCTCTGCAGAGCACCCCAAGGTGACCCGACACAACTTTAACAGCTCTATTTCGGTGTTCTCCGAGTCGATCGTTGACGCATCTTTCTGTTTGACCGACATAACGACGGCTGCAAGAAAAAGGAATGCAATAGACCAGTCTCTCCACACACCACGAATTGATTTTGGTGTTTTTTAAAACACCCAACCTTATCTTTAACATCTGAATTAACTTTTCTGCAGAGCCCGGCCAGCTTATTTGGTGCATAGAACACCACGTTAAAGGGGCCCTGTAATTTATTTAAGCAGCTACCTTTTTTGTGGTTTCCACGTCTCCTGGAATTCGGGCAAGCCAGCGGGCACGGAGAGAGTAACTAAATATTACTGCATCATATTTTAAAGGGATTGTCCAAACGAAACCGGAAGTACTTACGTTTTTGCACGGTATGTTGAGGGAGCCTTCGTGTAGACAAACAACATTTTTATTTTGATATATGATCTCCCGTTAATAACTAAACCTTTCGTGAGCTTATGTACAAAACTGCACCCCGAATTTCGCCAATGCCAATGGCTGACATCCGTAGCTGCTGCAAAACGTCACAAAACGCAAAGGTTTGTTGGATGGTCGAGATAATATGCATTGGTCGATGGATGTCTTGTATTTTGTTTCGAATTATAGTCTCCTAGGCCAGTGGTTCTCAAATGGGGGTCCACGAAGGCCTTCTAAGGGTCCGCAAAGCCCTGCCTCATCAGTCAAGCCTGGCAATAAAAGTTGTCTTTTTTTTTCTCAGGTCGAAAATAAATGTTTCCATTTTCGGGCGAGTTTTTTCGTGTCAACGTCAATAAGTCTGCTTCACACTAGCCCTTAGTTATATCCATTTATTAAATCATTATTATATTTAACCTATACCTTTCCTTTCCTCTCACCACAAACGGGGTCCTCCATCATCTTTGCCGATCCACAAGGGGTCCGCGAAACGTGGATGGTTGAGAACCACTGTCCTAGGTTGTACAGTATTGAAATATGGTTCTTTTATTGCAGTTCCCAAGCATGCGCAAAAAAAGTCACGCCTTTTAGCAGGATATTACTCGAAAACAGTCATAAGCTTCGAGCAAACGTATGCTGTTTCGCACGAACACAACTGCGACGGCCACCGATCAAATTAGTAGCGCTCGCAAAGCAAAGGATGCAGATTTTGCCTCTGAAGCGGGAACTAGGTACACGAAGCGGTATCTGGGTACACATATCGGCGAATCCACTGGATCGGTGATGAGGCTCCGGGTCTTTCTTTCAGAGGCGATGACCGCGGGTCGAAGGCAACCGGCGAATCGTTCAAATGCATGTCGTCACTTGACTTGGACGAGCTTAGTGAATCGTAGCCACGCTCTATTTGCACATGCAGGTCAAACAGAATTTGGCTGCACGCGTGCTAAATACAACTTCTGGTATCAGTTCCAGGTGGTCTAGCTGTTGGTTTCGGTTTCACTGCATAAACAAATTGATTGATCCGATTTGGGCGAAGAGTGGACGTAGTTTAATATCGTTGGCACAGCATCACACCTCAGCTTATGAGCCTTCTGTCCGCTTAGAGTTTAGCTCGTAGCTCTCTTCTGTGAAATGATTGCTGCATAAGCGGGATCTCGGTCTTGACGGGAACCGAGTCCCTACGCATGGCGACGATCCTTTTTGCTCGTCACTGCACATCTCGCGGAAAAGTGTTGAACGTCATGTCTTGGCTCGCATGTGCTGCCCGGTGGTTGTGGCATCCAACCGCGCAACAAAAATCGGCAGTTTGAAACTTTAGACCCATGTTACGGATAAAAAAAACAGGACGCGGGATGGCCAAACAAACATGCTTTTCATGTAAGGCTCGTTAGCGCGGCGCACCGGCGGAGGCAGTTGACCTGACAAACCGCGTTTGGCTTTGGCTAGCAGACGGCGTTTGTAAAATGGCGTCAGCTGTTGCTGGCTTCACGCGGCGGTACCGTGCGTGCTTCTATTCATTCGGCATTCATTGCCATGGTGACGGCGAGGAAAGCAGACAAACTTTATGTTGCAGAAGAACGCTGCGGCACAGCGATACCAGGTGCGTTCTAAGGCTCTTCCCGCATGCTTTTCAATAGGCAGAAG